CCATACTTTTGAATATTTAATTTAGTTTATGCTAGCAACTGATTCTGAATTAAAATTACAAACACATTGTTTTGCAAAAAACATGTTAAATTCTACAGTGCAGGGGTGTCAAACTCGTGGCCGGTGGGCCGGATGGGTCATGTGCTAACCACGCCCACCCGCTCCGGTTTAGCAAAAGGGAAAAAAGCAATACGTCACATGATTGTGTTGTCACAAGTTTGATACCTTTGCTATAGTGAGTCATCCTTTGATACTGATTAATTTAAAGCCTACATACTACTCTCTATTAATCTTTAAAATGGATAGCTTGTTGTTTTTTCCTAAAAGAGGAATTTCACTGAGGAAATTTTTATTTGAAAAGTACTCGTGTAGTAAGGAGAAACAAAAAAAGTATCAGCTTTCAGTTTTATACAACTCATTGGAAAGGTATCTACTTTTTACTAATAGTTGCAAAATGTCTGTAATTATCTCTTATATGCGTTATATGGATTCTTCTGAAAACAAAAGTTACTAGTAACAAAATAAAAGCACTTGTGTGAAATATTTATTTAGAGTGAAGTGTAATCACACCACCAGGTGTCAGTCTGTCTTACATGTAAAGTCAGCTATTTTTCAGAGATGATCTCCAAGCTATTTTGTCCCTAAACATTAGCTGAATGTAAATTCCTTTCCTCTGAACTAACAAAATAAGCATCTTTCTGCCTTTTGATTCCAGAAGTTGATTTTGCTTCCCTGCACTTATTTAATGAGATGCATGGAGATATTATGGCTGCTCAGGAACCACTTCTGGAAAAAGAGCAGGTAGACATTTCTTGAGTCATTTTAGATCCATATCTAGTCCTTGAAGCTCCAGGCAGCTACAGTAGGTTTGGAAATGTTCTGGCTGGTTGTTTCTATACAGTACTGAAATAGTTTGGTCCCAGTGACACATGCCTTGGTAATCTTGGGGCTTGGAACCGCAATGTGCTGTGTGGCGCTTCAGCTGTTTTAAATTCAGAATCCTCTTACAGTGTGGTCTGAACAAGCTAAAAAAAAGTAACCATGGTTATATGAAATGAGGAAAAGCTACCTGAATCCTTTCTCCTTTCACTGTATGAACCAGAAGGGCATAACTTCATTGCTTCCTTTAAACTTCATTGCATATCCCAGACAATTCATAGAAACAGAATTTCTCAATCATATAACTCTTCTGTTTATATATCCAGCCACTGAGCTCAAAAGTTGCCTCTTGGGAAACAATGGGGAATTGTTTTTTCCTTCCACAAATGATTGTCTGGGATTGTTTTCAGCCTTAAGGGGCCACTAGACAGTTTATCTTTGTGATAGACCAGGGTATTGGTCTGAAAGAAGCCTGCCTTAAAAAAGACAGCTATGTGGGACAATCAGGTGAACATGAGTCCTTTCTCAAGTGATTAAATGTGCCCCAAAGTCACCAAACAGACAGCAGGAGACTGGGGGGAAAAATGAGCAAAAAATGTTGCCATTTCAGGAATTATTGTCCTCAAGATTTCAGAAAAAAGGAAAACTATGGAAGAACAGAATTAAAAGGAGAGCGAGAAGGCTGTTAGTGAGAGCTATAATCATCCTTCTGACCTCAGTTTCTTTCCTCTCATTCTTTGCCGAGGTGGCACGACTTTGACTGACACAATACTGAAGGCATTCTCTGCCATGTATTTGAATCATCTTGCACCTTGGCAATAAAAACTGGTTCTGAGGCCAAAACCAAATGAGCCAAGCCTTAAATTAAGCCCTAGATGCAACCCATCTGTCCAGTATCTATTCTTTGGTTCCTTGACAAACAAACAAACAAACAAGCAAACAATAACATACAATTTTGTTTGGAACAGGCATTGGTGGGCACGAACACATCAGCTACTGATGTGTAGCCCAAAATGTATCACACAGCAGGAAAATTCGATAATCTCATCTCTTTCTTATTATTTTTAAATGCTCCTATTCTATAAGAATGAAAAGGTAATTGTGGGCAGTGTCTGATGTAACCAGGCCGGGTGTGGAGACAATGATGTGGTGTTGTATGTAAAGCAGAGGGTGGAACCAGACCAAGTTGATTCTGGAGCAGGATTTCCAGTACCTTCTGGGTGGAGGGGACTTGAGTGCCTTGAGTAATAAGAGAAGGGGTGTGTACGTCTATATGTTTGCATGCACAAAGTAAGTCAATGGCACTCCTGATGAAGCTAATAAAACAGAGAACCTGATATGTATGAACACTTAAAGCATATTTATGCTGACTCAACTAACAGTCAGTCTCACTCAGAACAATTTCCTCTGAATGATAGCTGTTCATCAAAGTCGTAAAATGCAATCTTTCTTGACTGAACCCCAAGATCTCTTTAACTGGAAATAACAAGAATTGAATCAAAGATCATCTGATTGCAAAAGGTGCATGGCTGGATTCACACACTGCACTGAGACATAAATCAAAATGTATAAACCATAATGGCTGGGTTCACACAACACACTATGGCACATTTTTTTTAAATTAAAAAAAAATCATACTGTGGGTAATTTCAAGGGATGTCCTTCTTTTTTGTAGATCAAGGAACTATGAGAGACTTTCTGGGAGCTATGTTCCAAAGAACAGGATAATTGAATGGATGAGACTAGTGCAAAAAAAATAATTATTGCATTTAAATGTAATAAATTAAATTGAATTGATTTAATTCAAAGTAAGTAATGTACGTAATTGAATTAATTCCAATGGACAACAGTACATTCAAAAAGGGTCTCAGAATCTAGCTTGGGCACAAGCTGAACATAATCCTAAAGGGTGATGCAACTGCAATTAAAACGAATGCATTGCTAGATGCATATGTCAGTATTACATCATCATTCTTCTCTATGCCGTACTGGTCAGACCACATCAAGAATATTTCAGGCACTATATTTTAGGAATTTATTGACAGACTAAAATGTGTCCAGAGGACAGGAACCAAGATGATAAAAGGTCTGAAAGGAAGCACTTAGGAGGAACACTTGAAGTCACTGAGTATATTTAGCATGGTGAAAAGGAGACAGATGCTGTTTTCAAGTATCAGCGTTCCGTCTCCTATGGGAAAAGGAGCAGAATGGTTCTGAGTTGTTCAAGAAGACAGGATAAGAAACAGTGGATTTAAATTACACGGAAGTAAATTTCAGTTGGATATCAGAAAAAAAAAAACTTAACAGTAATAGCAATTCAACAATGGAGCACACTTCCTCAGGAAGTGATGGATTGTCCATTAGTGGTGATATTTCAACAGAATTTGGATAGCTAGTTCTTGACAAAGTTGTAACAAATAGGATTAGATTATCTCCAAAATCCCTTTCAATCTTTACATTTTATGATTCTATTCTTACCATAAGAGTTGATTGTTCCTAATTACACTTCATCCTCCCTGATTTGAGACCTTTCTAAAATCAAATTAGGTCTGATATAAGTACACACACACACACACACACACATCATAACAGATTTTGTTGAACCAAGAAGATATATCTTTTAATACGAATCTAATAAAAAGCAATGATTCCTGTTATGTAATTGTATTCATTCATTCATTTTGCCCTGTTCAATAAAAGGATTCCAAATTTATTCCCTCTCTGTTTATTCTCTTTATCTAATGTAGAATTCCTAGCTTGGCTGATTCCAGATTTGTTGAGATTGCATTCCTGGAAGCTGCAGATCCAATATACAGTATCTGGAAAAGACCAGCTTGGAGAAAATATCAGAATAACGTTTTGTCCGAAATTTCATCTTCTTACAAATATCACACTGCTCCAATATTTGGGGGCTAAAATTATGCACGTTGATTAAATCAGACGTTTAGGAATTGCATCAGAATACTTTCAGTGTGGTATCTTAATATGAACGGGACATATCTGTGAACACCAGTTACTTGTTAAGAGTAAGAAGTGTAATGAAGAATGATACAGAAACTGAAATAGGATCAATCTACATACTGTATGCACTGTGAAAAGAAAAAAGAAATCAGAAATAAAATACAAATATTACTAATGCACTTGTTTTTCCCCAGAAACAAGATGGGATGAACTTCAAATTGGGTGAGGGTCCTCTGTTCTCAGATCAGATCTCCCCTTCCCCAGATCCCCTTCGTTCAGCCTAGCCTTGTGCAGTTCACAGGTGCGCCATGAAAATGATAGCATTAGTATTTCAATTTCAATTATTTGTAGGAATAGCGGAATATGAACAGTGCGTTTTTTAACGCGGCCATAGACATATACATTCATGGTCTCCCACGTTCTGAAAAAATAATATATCTGGCGTAAAATAAGATTTCCCTCCCAATTCAATTCAGATGAAAGCCGCGTTGTGGGCTTCTGTTTCAAAAGTCTCGAAAACACTTGTCAACATTTTGGTCTAGGTTGTGTTGCAATCAATTTTTATTTCGGACTTCCCATTTAAAAAGAGGATGGATTGTTCATCCATGAGAATACAATACAACACGCGCATTTATGTTTACATCTAGTGCAGTGTTTCTCAACCTTGGAAGCTTGAAGATGGGTGGACTTCAACTCCCAGAATCCCCCAGCCAGCAGCGCTGGCTGGGGGATTCTGGGAGTTGAAGTCCACCCATCTTCAAGCTTCCAAGGTTGAGAAACACTGATCTAGTGGATTAGAGAGGAGGGTCTCCATGATGTGTCATTTGTTCACATGCAGAGATTTTTTTTTTGTTCTTCTCGAAACAGCCATTTCCCCAAAACTGCAGCTCCAAATCACGCTCCCCTACTTCTCCTGGATCTACTTTTCCCGCGCCTACTCCTCGAGCTCCAGTTCTCAATATTAGAAAAGGCTTAAAAGTCTGTACAGAGAAGACCACATTTCCCAACAGGCAACGAGAAGAGAAGGGAAAAAAAAAGAAATGCTCGCGTGTGGCGCAGAGACTGCTGGATGTTGTAGTCCTCGTGGGAGGGTTTTCCCCGTAACCATGCTCCTCCTTCTCCTCTTCCTCCTCCTCCTCCTCCTCCTCCGCTCTCCTCCCCGAAGACGGAAGCCTGCGGAAAAAAGTGAAGAGGAGCGGAGTTGACGAGATGGGGGGCTCCAAAGTGAAGGTGGCGGTGCGGATCCGACCCATGAATAAGAGAGGTGAGTTGCGGGGCGATGAGCGGACCGGGCGCCTTCCAGTAAGTGTGAAGGGAAGAAGAGAGGAGATTCCCCCAAGCAGCGCCCGAAAAAAAGGATCCCCCCCCCCCATTCCAGGCAAATAACATTTGGGAAGGAATCAAACGTCGCGGGGCAGGAACCGAGAACCGATCCTTCCTTAAGGGCTTGGTGGCTGGGCAGGTCTTTCTCCCCTCGTGTTGGCAAAGAGGTGCCCCCTCCTGCAGAGGATTAAAAGCGGAGGGAACGAAAGACGCTTCGGAATGCTTGCGGGAGAGACTCCCCTCCCCAGGACCAAAAGGAGAAGGAAGGACGAATATCACTTCTTCCCCCCCCCCCCCTGGGGGGGGGAAAGCATCTAAAAAACAAAAAAGACCCCCCCCCCCCCCCCCCCCCCCCCGGAAAAAACCACTGCCCCAGTGCTGAAGCGTATATTTAAGGAGTTAACAATGCCCCCCTTTAATATAGGAGTAGAGGGAAGGGTGGCTTTCCCCAGAACTGAAGAAATGCAGAAGTGGGGGGAAAGCCTCAGCCCACATTTTCGGATTTGAGAAAGTCTGGGGAATCCTCTGTCAGAAAGTCCAGGAGAGAAGGGCCACTTCCTCCCCCCCCCCCTCCACTGTATGGAAAAATATGTCCGCCACTGTATGGTAAAATATTTTGCCCTGGGGCAGGAGGCAGATACAAAAACAGGGGAGAAGAGTCAGAAGGAGCAGCAGCTGGAAACTGTAGTTTGTGCGGCCCGCCTCTTTGCTGAGGTGAGGGAATCCCTTGCCAAGGTGAAAGTGTGCCCAGGAATCCTAAACACAGAAGATAGGAAGGAGCATTACCAGCCTGTGTTAGGAATTGGAGGGAAGTTCCCTGCTTGATAGGCACCGCTGCCCAAATAGCAGAGAAACTAGGTGGACCAGAATGAAACTGGCCAGTGTCCTATGTCCACCCCGCCTCCCCTGGGACAGGAGCCGGAACAGAATAATCTGTGCTCATAAGGTAGGAAGTCCTTCCTTCACCTGGGACAGGAAAGCAACTGAAGATGTGGGACCCAAACTTTAAGAAGGAGTTAATAAGCAAACACTCTCTGTATGTGTGTGCAGATTAAAGTGAAATCTCTTCCTTCAAGGTCAGAAAGAACCAAGTAGATCTTGAGCAATTTGGAGGCCAGATGAGAATGAGAGATTGACTGCCTTTATACAATATGTGTTACCTGGTTGTTAACTTTTCTGGCTTTGCATAAGACCTGACACTACACATTAACCAGATGGCCACCAGACCAAACAAAAATCTAAGGTTAAAAATAACTAAGCTTTGCAAGTTATGAAAATGGACTGCCAACCTCATTTTAGCCTAGAGTAGTGAATAGATTGGAGAAATGGGTTTTCATTACACTTTGGAGTAGTTAAGAATTTCTATATTCATTGTCTTCTAATAACATCATTTTCTGCTTGATGCAGAAGATGACCTAAGCAGGTTGACAGGGATGAAAATTCATAGCACAGGACAGGTTTCTCAGTGCAGTCTCTGCCTCTCCAACCTAACAGACAAGAAAGTTTAGACTACTTGGCATTTGAGCATCCTGTAAAATGCAAAGCTTAGCAACTAGCTTTTTGAAATATTAATTCTCATAGGAGGGGAGGAGAAAAGTTGAGATACCATACTATCTGGGGGGGTCATACATTGGGTAGGGGGAAAGAGGATATTATATATAAAAAGAGCTATATAATGACCTAATTTTTTTTTAAAAAGGGCATGTCATGAAAATGCCATTTAATTGCTTATCTAATCAATTTAATAAGTTTAAGAACACCAGAAAATTTTCTCTCTCCCTTCAAACATTACCAAAGAAGAACTATTCATGTCTATCTTTCATGATAGGACATGCCTCAATTGAAATATTAGGAGACAACCTGTCTTAATCCCCATGCTTGTATTACCTCAACCAGGTAGTTGACACCTGCGAAGAAACATATAGCAAAAAATGCACCTCACTGGGTGCTTCCCTATCATCACGCATGTAGATTTCTTAAGGGTAATATTACGATTCATATTGCCAACCTGAATTAAAAGCAATGCCCTTGTGTAGCTGCACAAATGCTGTATATCTGGCTACAATGTAATTGTGAGTAGGTGAAAACAAGAGAGTGTGAAAAAGATATACCAAAGGGAAAGCTTGAAAAGCATAGCAAAATCACCCAACACTTTTTAAATGTCTTTCCAATGCCATTTTTGTTACTATGAGGTTGTAATTATGTGATTATAACAAAATGGTAAGGTCTGAAATCTTTTTCAAGTCTAAAGAAACGCATATCTAGTTCTTATCAATAGATAATATTTACCAATATTCTGCCTTTTTTACATTTGTGCTTGAGGGCAACTGCCCTTCTGAATAGTTTGCATTTTGTATGAGCTTACAGAATCATCACTCAAGTAATTATTAGATGAAGCCCTCTAAACAAAACGGCTTTATCATTCTCTCTGGGCCCCACCCCCAAGGCCATAATACCATTGAGAATTTCAGCTGCTGCTTTTTTCTCTGTATGTGGCTTTTGTTCAGAAAAAGTTAAAAAAAAAAAAAAGGTCACTCTTATTAATTGCTTGATGTTGAGAGTTGAGATCTGGTAGACCAAAGCCATATCATTCACAATTCATTTTGGTTTGGAGATGGAGAATATTGTCCTTTTGGTTTGATCTAAGAATATTCTCTCCATCCAACCAGATGCTCAACTCTCCTCTTTGTTCCCAAGCGTAAAATTGTTAGTGTTGAATTGATGCCTGGCTAAAAATCTGCCAGCTAACATCTTGGGAAGTGAAAAGAAGGGGGGGGGCGGAGTCAGGGAATTTTTAGTGGCAGGAAGGAGCTGATTTACTCCTCCTCTTCTACATTACTCTGGACAATGTCTGTTTCAGCTACACTTGCATATTTCTTTATTAAATTTGTACTCTAAAATTCGTATCAGTGACTCTTCTACACGCTGATTTCCCAGACAGAAACTTCTCCAATCTTTCTAAGATGATTGTTGGCATTTTTGCAGATATCATAAAGGCCATAATATTGCAGAAAATCATGGACTGGTTGAGGCATGTAACATTTCTCTATATTTAAACTTGTGAAAGTAAAAGGGTAAATGGATATGCATTTATTATATAGCTATTTTTTTAAAAGGTAAAGTGTTCAAACTCTTCATTACTATGCATGGTATCAAAACAGACATATTTTATATTTGAAACATACGTGTGTGTGTGTGTGTGTGTGCATCGTATTGACGAACTAGAAAATTTGTTTGACAGCTGAATTTTAAAAAGAGAAATTGACACTTGGGGGGAGTGACTGGGTTGAGATTCCAGTAACAATTGTGCTTCTGTGTTGGAGTGTGGCAAATATCAAAGCTCTCTCTTACTTTGGAGTAAAGATGTCTTATGCATGCCATTGTCTGCCCTAACAATAGCCTTATCTAGAGAAAAAATGCTTTAAATGATCTTTGTTTTCAATGACAAATGCTTCAGTTTCCTGGAGCCATATGTTGAAATCTCTCTAAAGTCATCTCACAAACATATAGGAAGAATAGTTTAAAAACTTTATTCCTTAAAACCAATGTTAAATCATAGTTTTGCCATTTGAAAAAAATGGAACAATAGCTTAGTTTATCATAAATGAATCTTTTCCTCTGGTGTATTTTTAAGGAAACATTACCTCCCGTGTTCAACTAGTAATGATATGGAGTTACATGATCACAATTGGGGAACCCTCGGATGTTGAGCAAAGCAGTCATTAAGTGAGATGTTACTTCGCTCAATGACCACAACCATGGCACTCCCAATTGTGGTCCTTAAATGATCTTCTAGGTCATTAAAGGGATGGAGTGCAAGGGTTGCCTGCTGGGAGCACATCTCAGCTCCATGTACAGCTGAGATTCTCTCCCACCCACCCCCAATGCTCTGTCAGGCAGCCCTTTGAGAGCTGAGACTTCTCTGCTGAGAGCTGAGATTCCCTCCCAGAGAACAGCCCTTTGAGTGAAAGAGCAGGGCGACAGAGAAAGGAGGTAGAGAGAGAGGGATTTTAGGCTTCCCATAAGCTTGGATTTTGAGTGCCAAGGTTCAAGCAGGCACAGAGCTTAGGATCCTTCCTTCCCCATCTCTGGAGAGAGCTCTGTGCGGGTGAGGAGGGAAGGATTTGGGGTTTTGTGCATGCCTGGAAATCCAGGCAGACATGGAGCTTGGGGTCCTTCTCTCCTGCCTCTGTGTAGAACTCCACAGAGACTGGGATTGGGATTTGAGCTCTGTGCCTGCTTCAATTTTGACTACTGAGGTCCAGGAATAAACGGAGTTTGGGGTCCTTGTCTCCCTGCCTCTGCGGAGGTGTGGAGAGAAGGATGCCTGCTTGCATTTCAGTTGTCGAGATTCATGCAGGCAAAGATTGGCGGGGTGCTTTTTCAGCCAGCCCCCAGGGAAAAGAGGGACCCGCTTGGCCGGCGGAAGCAACTGCCAGTTTCCCCCATTGACAATCTGAGGAGGCAGGCTCAGAGATGACTGCAAATGGCAATCATGTGATTGTGGGGCACTTGTAATGTGTGAACAGAAGAAGAACCCATATCACAAGAATGGTGCCAAGAACCTATATTATAATCACATGACTATGTTTGTGTGTGACATTTTGTAATAGTTGGAAGTCTTTTACAGGCCATAAAGCCCCTTTCCAAAGCCATCACAATTTCAAACACTAATTAAGCGACTGGTCTGAGGACTATCTATATATCTAAATCTGAAAAATTTCATATTCTCAATTTTGATTTATAAAAACAAGGCCATTTAAAGCCATAGTTTTTGATCTTGGCTAATTTTCTGATTCTTAAACTAATACATTGCCATCTATTAAACTGACAAACATATTCAAACTCCCCTTATAACGCATACTTTAAAAACAAAGTGACATTTCATTGAAGGCAGTGCATTTATGTCAGGCTACATTCATCGATATACTTTCATCAAAG